TCTTTGCAAGCAAGGCTCCTGATACCTTCGGGCTATTCAGCAAATGACCTTGGTGGGTTGACAATAAATATCTCGCAGGGTCACAATTCATTCTTTGATTTTTTTTTTTTTCCATTCAGTCTTCTGGAGAGACAAGGCTGTGGTTTTTAAAATATAATGACAATTTTCATGGCTTGGATTAGAAAAAAACTCTAGTCAGTGTTCCTGCTCATGAATAAATAATTCAAAGACAGCTTATGTATTGAAGATGTGGTTATTAGCAATTGGATTCTGACTATGCTGACTATGTCATACAAACCTTTATAAATGTGACAGTCCCAAAGGGATTCATGTGGCAATATGTACTGAGTGCCTTTTCTTGCTGGGACCTTGAAATGACCAATGAAAGAGACAGATCTCTGGCAATTCAACCAAGGGGCAAAAGGGAATATTAAATTCAGTCCGTCTGGTATAATCCAATAGTTGGTTTATTGTTTTAAACTCACATGATCACAAGTCACATAATAAAAACAATAAAAATAAGTAATTGTTTCCATGGAATTAAAAGCCAAGACAATTTTTCAGAAGAAGAAAAATGATGGCTCTTGCTTTATGAAATATTATAATATATTAAAAGGCTAGAGGGATTAAAGAGAATGGAGTTGGCCCAGGAATGGCAGATTAATGGGATAAAAAGAACCCACAAATAGCAGACTCGAGTATAAGTGAGAAATATGTGTATAATAAAGAAGACATTTAAATCAGTGGGGAAAAGGATGAATTAATCAACAAATCATGTTGAAGCAACTGTCTCACCATCAGTAAAAAGTAAAGTTATTCCTATCTTATTCCTTACAGGAAAATAAATCCTAGATTTTAATCCTAAAACTACTGAAGTATAAGAAACATCATAGGTAAGTGTTTGAGATGAAGGTGTTCTTTCCAAGGATGACATCAAGGTCAGAAATTATAAAGTAAATGAATGTTAGATGTGATTTCATAAAAATTATAAAATTTTGTATGAGAATTTAAAAGAACCCATATACAAAAATCAAAAAAGAGATAAAGGCTAATGCATTTTGGAGACTAATGTTAATATAATTTCATTTTACTCACAGGCTGATGAGGCCTGTGGTAAGGGTTCCATATCTTAATCCATAAAAATATATTGGGTTATATCTGGGTGCTGAGCAGACGATTGATATGTTTTTCTTTATATTTTGCTATACTTTTGAATTTCACTCTTGCAATGATCATACATTCCTTCCTTTAATTATCAGCAAAAGTAATACAGCTATTAAAATTGCCTACTGGTCCCATATGTGAGCATTTCCTGGAAATTCTCGCATCACAAATGTCAGATACTCAATACAGCTAAGGATCTTATAAAAAGAAATCTGAGTTTAATTTGGCTAGGACGTCAAAGTACCTGGAGGTTTCCTAATCACTGGGGTGTAGCAGCTAATATTTCAACATTTTCTTCATCGCCTTATAGAATTTGCTTATCATTCATATAAAAAGTAATGATATTCCATTTTGTGGAGTTACTGTATAGCCCTAACTATTGCAATTAGGAAATATATTAGTCAAATATACAAGTATCAAGATGATTGCATTGCAAAATTTATTTGTTTTGACAAGAGACCAGTGAATCTGTCTAAATAATTCATATCTCATTGCATGAGAATAAGCATCAAAAGACTATTTGATAATGAGAATTGTATCTTAATAAATATGAAGTCAAATTCTAATGCTTTTCCATTTAACTTTGCACTGAGAATAATTTTTCTTAGAGCACATCTGGAATTTTGAAAAATGCTAAAATAAATAGCAATTCCTGACATATTTCTTAATATTTTCTACTTCAAGGAACTACGAATCATCACTGTGGCACATCTCCACATGGTCCAAACTTTCCAGAGCCCATGAAAATATACTTAGAGTAAAAGAGGCAGTGATGATAGTAACTGACATCTTTCTAGACAAATTATTTCATTTGGAGGAAACAGTGTCCTGGAGAAAGCATGGTTATGGAGACAGTGCTGGGGTTCAATCGGGCTCCCCCACTCAGAGTCTCCCTGTTCTTGGGCAGATTACTTGATCTCACCAGTTTGTTTCCTCACCTGTAGGATGGGGAGAGTAGTATCTACTATGTGGTCATTATTGAGGGGATGTATTTAAAGGCACATATTGGGCACTGAAAGAAAATGATGACTATTATTGAGGATGGACACGGGGATGACATGGCTGCTGTGCTGCCATCAGGAAGCTGGCTGAGTCTCTACCAAGAGCTCACGGGGGAACTATAACCTCAATGAATTTACTAGCATCGGCGGGTGAGGCTGCTAAGCTCCAAACAATGATCACAGGGAAGATGACTCACGTTATTTAAGGTCAGTCAACAGTTAACTGATTGAAGGTAGAACATATTCATTTCTCGTGCCTGAAGTGATCATCTCTCTCAGTCAGGCACCACCCTCCTTATTATTAAAATAACTCTATTTTGGGGAGGATGGACTCAGAACAAAGAGAGGCAGACTCATGAGGGAAGTGTCACCTGCATCACGGTGAGGCCAGTGACTGTGCTCACCTTACCGCAGACGTCACTTCACCAGAGCAGAGACACTCGGGGCCTCCCAGAGCTGGGGTCTCTCTCCAGGGTAGCACCCAATAAACCACCTTTGCAACCTCTGAGCTTCCCTTTTTCATTGTTCAAGGCTAGTGGTCCACCCTTACTACAGAGGTCTTCCCTAGCAAGAGAAATTATAATGCACTGGTCTCCACTTATTAAATTTCCATCATTTCCAATCCTTTCTCCCCAGGTATAGCAAGGTAACCTTGGTGAAAGTCCTGGGTGTTCCCTTAAATAATCAATCTCATCAACTGTGTGAGAATTTTAGCAGGATAACCATAGAGAACTATCTTATTCCCTTGTTTCTAAGTCTCTGAAGGAATCTTACTGCTTCCCCATGCAATACTAAGTGTTCTGTACTGTTGTTTCTGTTGATTGGATGCATGGATGGATGGATGAAAAATGGACAGATGGAATATGAAAAGAATATTGTAACACTGGACTGGATCAGCAATGAATGAATCCTCGGTATCTTATCTGACACCCAGAAAGATAAAAGGTAAGACAAAAGAAACTTGATCTTCTGACATACATTTATTGCCAGACTTTTGATTCAAGGAATGCAGAAGCAAAGAACCGCATTGAGCTGAAAGAGGAGAGAGTCTGTCTAGTCAAAAACAGCCTCTCATTCTTTCACTCTTCTTGTTCAAAAGTTCACCTTTTAAGCAAGAATATGATGAGGTTTAATACATTTTGGTCTCTTATAAGAAGTGAGTTGACTATACTCTGAGCCAGAGATCCAGCTCTGTCCAGATTGACCTTGAACAATTCACTTGCTTCTATTAAGTGTGTTTAAGCCCCCACCCCCCGCCCCGTAAGAATAGGATGCTAACTTTAGCCCTCAATCCTCCCTCAGGAGTGTGGTAAGGAAAGAGTAGTGGCATACAGGGTAGATGCAAGCTTCCTACAAAGAAAGGTCCATAAATGGATTTACACGATGAGCAGAAAGAAACAGGCAATATTCTCAGTATCGTGCTGCCATTCTTCCTTTAAAACACCTTTCTCTATTTCAAGCTAATGGTGAACTGATAAATATGTGAAGCAGATTTAGGTCATGCTGCTATTTATTTTTTTATTTTAATAGATCTTTATTAGAGTATAATTGCTTCACAATACTGTGTTAATTTCTGTTGCACAACAAAGCGAATCAGCCATATGCATACACATGTCCCTACATCTCCTCATGCTGCTATTTATTTTTTTATTTTAATAGATCTTTATTAGAGTATAATTGCTTCACAATACTGTGTTAATTTCTGTTGCACAACAAAGCGAATCAGCCATATGCATACACATGTCCCTACATCTCCTCATGCTGCTATTTAAAATCAGGAACTCGCTTGCTGATAATTTTATTCTGAGGATTCATTCAGCACAACCCCGTCTTCTAGAAAAGAATGGGAAACACAACCATAAAGGTTCATCTTGTTAAAAAATAATCCACACCTAGCATCACCTGGAGAGTCAGCCCCACCTTCCCAACTAGCCCTCTGAGCGATGCAATTTCTGTACATGTAATGTCACGGCAACTTGGTGTGAGCACAAGAGGGTTTTTCTAAAAAAGCCCAGGAGCGGTGGAAAGCAAGCAGCAACTCCCAGCTGGCCACTGGTCACACTATTCTCTGAGCCTGCAGAAAGCAACATTCTGCAACCAGTGGAGTCCTTGTGACAGTGACAGAGCTTTCTCCTGGGTTGTCATCAATTATGAGGCTTAAGTGCATTATGTTTTAAAGAAAAATAAATAAATAAGCATCTCTCTCTCTGTCTCATGGTGCAATGGAAACCAATCAAGTCAAATCATTTCAATACTGTCTTGGACAGTGTTCTAAGAGGACACTTTCAAAATTGTTAAAGTAGAAAGAAAACACGTGAATGACCTGAAGTGCACAGCACTGCTCATTTATCAGACCATATACTGCTCTTATCTCCCTTTTCTCCAGACCAAGAAAGAAAAGATTAATATTTTTAATTTAGTAAAGAGCATGTTAAATGTATCTTTGGGAACCTCTGTACACACACACACACACACACACACACACACACACACACACACAGCACCTATGTTTTGGAGACACAGCCCTGGAACACTGCCTCACCCACCATGTGGAAATTCTCCAATTTCTATATATAACCACCGCAGTTCACAGGCACACACACCCCCAACCCATCCACAGGCACCTATCAGCTCATCATGCTTGCAGAAATTGGAATGCTGTAACAATGCCCTGAATTTGAGAAATTCACAAGCCCAGAGATGGTTTCCTGACAATGAAAAAGGGCTGGTGCAGCCCGCGGCGGCACCTTCACACCAGGGCAGGCTCTGCCCAGCTCTCTGGCGTGTGATCTGCATGTCTAATAACGGAACAGGTTTGTGGGATCAGCCGCTTACCTTGGAATGCTGCAGCAGAAGTATCTGCTCGTCCAGCTCTTGGCGCTTGCCTTCTATTTCCGTCTGCCTCTTTCTTTTTTCCTTGAAAATAAAAAGAGAGAGAGAGAGGCTGTAAGAGTGGGTGGGTGTTGGCTCCACGAATTTGAAGGTAGGAAGCAGCAGCAGCTGTACACATCTGTAGAGACCCTTCCAGAGATGCTGGGCACACACACTGTTGTCACCTGCCCCTTCGTGTCTGGGTGTGTTGTAAGCAGCAGCCTTCTCTTAACATGTCTGCTGTGGGCTCGGTGAGTGGGAGAAATTCTCTTCACTCAGCCAAGCTGCAACAATTTAATCCAGAAGAAAAGGCAGCTTCTACACACACACACACACACACACACACACACACACACACACACACACGCACATACACATGCACACACACACAGAGTCATGTTCTGTGCAGTGTTAATTCAGAGACAAAGAATAAAAATGTCTCAATTGTGAAGACAGAGGTTGTTTTCAACTGCAAAGATGATAGAATAAACAGTGGGAAATTCTGGGGTTAGATTCCTGTTATCAAAATACTACATATAAATAATGCAATGCAATTTCAAATTTTATAGGACAAATCATCCAGTTGGACCTACCAAACAATGCAAATCAGATGGGTGATCTTTGTTTAAGTTCATCTTGGAGGGAGCATTTCATGTTGGGAGGGCTTGCTGAGGTTATGGTAAATGTGAAGTCTAGACTTGGTCTGCCTGGGTCCACCTTCCAGCTTTTCTATTTGCTGCTTGTGTGACCTCTGATGAATTCTTTTACCTCCCTGGGTCTAAGTCTTCTCTCGCATAAAGAGGAGGTTAAGAATTGTACCTAAACCATATGGCTGGGGCATGGATTAAATGAGATGATATATGTAAAGGACCTAGAACAATGACCTGGCACACAGTAAATGCTCAATAAATATTATTTGCCATTACACTTACTGTCACATGTTTACTTCTAGGCAATGCCTAGAAACTGGTTTTAAAGGGATGTATTTCCCTTGTATTCAGAGCATAACTGTTCCACTGGAGTGTATGCTTATTATTTTTCTTCTCTATACATCTCCAACATAGACAATAAACATCACATAAAAGTGATTAATTGAAGAATAGAAAGGATTGCCCTTATGATAGCTTACTTGCTCAATGTTTTGTTTCCAAAGTGCATAAGGGGGTGGTTTTTTGAGACATTTACTGCAATGGATTATTTCCTTTTACTCACATATGCAGAGGAAACTTGTTGGACAAGACATAATGGCATTTTACACTACAACAGCCAAATCCTGGAGAAGACAATAATGTAAAAGCCTGGTTGTTCTGCTCTGTGTTAAGGGAAGCTTTTATTTTATGTAGTTGCTATGTTTCTGGGGATGTGCTTGTACCACTGCTATTCAAATCAACATAGTAATAATTTATGTTATAACCAAGTTTTTCTGTGTAATGCACAGACTTTTAAGAAATAGTAGCTTATAATCTCAAGCCACTGAGACATAATATCCAAGTCAGGAACATAACCTCTCTGGCAAAGTGAGGACTGAGGACATTTTAGGAACTTACTATTTACCAAAGAACTCCAATCCATGGTGCATCACTGATGCTGCTAATCCCAGAGGATGTCCAAGAACACACAATATATGGCAGCAGATGGGAAAAGCGAGGACCACTGAGGAGAGACCACCTATCCAGCAACTCAAAGGAATGTAAGTAAGTGCAGCCACTATGTAAAACAGTCTGGAGGTTCCTCAGAAAACTAAAATTAGAATTATCATATGAATCCTACTCCTGGGCATGTACCCAGACAAAACTATAATTCAAAAAGATACACACACCCCTAAGTTCTTAGCCGCACTATTCACAATAGCCAAAACGTGGAAACAGCCTAAATGTCCATCAACAGATGAATGGATAAAGAAGATATGGTACGTATACACAATGGAATACTACTCAGCCGTAAAAAAGAACGAAATGATGCCATTTGCAGCAACATGAATGGACCTAGAGATTCTCATACTGAGTGAAGTAAGTCGGAAAGAGAAAGACAAACACCATATGATATCACATATATGTAGAATCTAAAATATGGCACAAATGAACTTATCTGCAAAACAGAAACAGACTCACAGACATAGAGAACAGACTTGTGGTTGCCAAGGGGGAGGGAGGTGGGGGAGGGAAGTATTGGGAGTTTGGGGTTAGCAGATGCAAACTATTATATATATAATGGATAAACAACAAGGTCCTACTGTATGGCACAGAGAACTATATTCAATATCGTGTGATAAACCATGATGGAAAAGAATATTAAAAAAATGAATGTCTATATGCATATAATTGAGTCACTCTGCTGTACAGCAGAGATTGTAACGACATTGTAAATTAACTATACTTCAATAAAAAAATAAATAAAAATTTTAAAAGGTACCAATGGCAAAGCAAGGGCCTCCAGAACCAGCCACTATCTCTTTATTCTAGAATTTCTCAACAATAGGTTTACTGGACTTTATCTTTCATTCCCACAGTCTATCAAGGTACGGAGCTGTCCTATATTTAAATCCAGAATCAAAACATAGTATGTCGGGGACTTCCCTGGTGGCACAGTGGTTAAGAATCCGCCTGCCAATGCAGGGGACACGGGTTCGAGCCCTGGTCCAGGAAGATCCCACATGCCGGGAAGCAACTAAGCCCGTGCGCCACAACTACTGAGCCCGCGCCCTAGAGCCCACAAGCCACAACTACTGGGTCTGCGTGCCACAACTACTGAAGCCTGCACACCTAGAGCCCATGGTCTGCAACAAGAGAAGCCACCGCAATGAGAAGCCCGCACACCGCAACGAAGAGTAGCCCCCGCTCGCTGCAACTAGAGAAAGCTCTTGTGCAGCAACGAAGACCCGATGCAGCAATTAATCAATTTTTTAAAAAAGAATCAAAGAAAAACATAGTATGTCACAGGTACAATATGCTGATGACTCAATAATTCCATCCATGTTAATTGAGTGCTGTGTGTGCTACAGACTGAATGTTTGTGTTCTCCCCAAAATTCGTATTTTGAAACTTAATCCCCAAGGTGATAATGGTATCAGGAGGTGGGACTTTTGGGAGGTGACTAGGTCATGAGGGTGGAGCTCATGAATGAGATCAGTGCTCTCATAAAGAGACCCCTTCCACAATGTGAGGACACAATAGCAAGACAGCTGCCTGTGAACCAGGTGCAGGCCCCCACTAGACACCAAATCGGTGGGTGCCTTGATCTTAGATTTCTAAGACCTCTTAGAACTGTGAGAAAAAAATTTCGGTTGTTTATAAGCCACCCAGTCTATGGTATTTCATTAGAGAAGACTGAATGTACAAAGACAATGTTCTAATTACAGATCTGGTCATTTGCAAATCCTTCCTAGGCTTTCCCACCTCTGACCCTTTGTTCATATAAAGTTCTCACTCTACACATTACCCTCCATCATATTGGTGAACTATGCTTTGAACAGAAGAAATATCACCAGATGGTACAAGCGGGGAATCGTTGTATGAGTAGACTCATTGGTGGTCACTGTGAACAGATATGATCGTGAAAGATGCAGGTTTTAAGTTAGTTCTTTAAGGAACTAACTAAGGTAGGAATTAGGTCAATACAGATTAATGCGCAGCACATTCCAAGGAATGTGTGAGTAAGGGCAGAAATACACTGCATATTCCAGGGACAACGAGGAGAGAAATAAAACTCAGGTGCAGGGCTTGCCTTTAGGAATAGAGATCGATGATTCAAAAGACTGGCTAGGACTAGACCTCTGAGGGCCTTGGATGCCAGGCCAAGAAGCTTGGATTTTATTACACGGACAATGTAACCTCATTGTAGGGTGCTAAGCAAGAGAGTAATACGGTGAAATAGCATTTTAGGAACATTATCTGGCACTGGTATATAGGATGGATTAATAGGAACTGGGATACATTTCCTGTAAATGGCCAGATAGTAAACATTCTAGTTTTTGTGGGACATACAGTCTCTGTTGCAACTACTCAATGCTGCCATTGCAGTGCAAAAACAGCTGTAGACAATCTATAAATAAATGAGCGTGTCTGTGTTCTAATGAGCCTTCATTGACAAACACAGGTGGGGGCCAGATTTAGCCCATCTTCATAGTTTGCTGACCTCTGGATGAAAAGATCATTACATGTCTTAGAAAGAAGTCCTACACTGTTCGTGGGAATGTAAATTGGTACAGCCACTATGGAAAACAGTCTGGAGGTTCCTCAAAAAACTAAAAATAGAGTCACCATATGATCCAGCAATCCCACTCCTGGGCATGTATCCAGACAAAACTATAATTTGAAAAGATACATGCACCCCAGTGTTCACAGCATCACTACTTACAATAGCCAAGACATGGAAACAATCTAAATGTCTACTGACAGATGAATGGATAAAGAAGATGTGCTGTGTCTGTATATATACAATGGAATATATATATATATATATATATATATATATATACACACACACACACACACACAATAGAATACTACTCAGCCATAAAAAAAGAATGAAATAATGCCATTTGCAGAAACATGGATGGACCTAGAGATTATCATACTAAGTGGTCAGAAAGAGAAAGACAAATATGATATGATATCACTTATGTGTGGAATCTAAAATATGACACAAATGCACTTATTTACCAAGCAGAAACAGATGCACAGACATAGAGCAAAGGCTTGTGGTTGCTGGGGGGAGGGGTAATGGGGGAGGGATGGATTCCCACGATGTGGGGTGGGGGAGTTTGGGGTTAGCAGATGCAAACTATTCTACATAGAATGGATAGACAACAAGGTCCTAGTGTATAGCACAGGGAAATATACTCAATATCCTGTGATAAACCATAATGGAAAAGAATATGAAAAAGAATATATATATATATATATATATATATATATATATATCACTTTGCTGTACACCAGAAATTAACATTACATTGTAAATCAACTATACCTCAGTAAAAAACACATTTTAAAAACGTCTTAGGAGGATGCAACATTCACCCTGGGGTGTGGTGGGGATGGATG